GCGATGGACTGGCGACCTGTCCAGGGTGTATCCTGCCTTCCGCCCAATGACAGCTGGGATAGGCTCCAGCACCCCACCGCGACCCAGAAGGATAAGCGGTTTAGATTATGTATGTATTTGCTTTATTACTGGTGCATTATTTTTATCTTTCTGTATAAAATCTCTTATTGCACTAGCATAACTTTGATCTTGTGAGAATACGTGAGTTGTGTCAGAGCAGAGAAATGAAAGTGCATTTTGTGTCATTCTCTGCGGCCGTTCTGTTTGTCCACTGCAGAAGAACCATATCATCATGGTGGGGGAGGGGGGGGGTGCATTTACACTGCACACCACATTACTGCAATTACCGCTGTGTGTTTTTCAACAGTTTAGACTGTAACGCTGCAGAGAGAGAGAGAGCTTTATTCTGCTTACGGTCAGAGCAGAAACACTTTTAGAAGATGAATAGACCTAATTTTGGCTTAATCTGAATGCATTTCACATCATTGTAGCAAAATCATCACTACATTACGTGCTATTTATAGCTGTTTTTGAAATGTTTAACCACATAAAAGACAGAATACGTTTTTTTTTCAAAACAATATGCAGTTTTTTCTATAAACAGATTAAAGCATATATATGTATGTACATATATTTGTTGTATGTATTTCATGGTCAAGTATAAAAGCTTTTCACTTCAAGTTCCATTTGAAAAGGGATTAAAGGGTCCATGAAAAACCAAATCTGATGTCGGAATGTAAACATTGTCAAAGCTTCAGTTTCCCCAGTTCACAGTAAACTGCAAAAACATCACAACCATGAACACATTTCTATATGACTGCCCATTCAGCCTACAACGGTTTAGCCCTGTCCATTCAGCCTACAACAGTTTAGCCCTGTCCATTCAGCCTACAACGGTTTAGCCCTGTCCATTCAGCCTACAGCACTTTAGCTCCAACCATTCGGCCTACGGCACTTTAGCTCAAAACATTCAGCCCACAGACATTTAGCCCTGCTCACTCAGCCTACAGCACTTTAGCTCCACCCCTTCCGCCTACAATGGTTTAGCCCCACCCATTCAGCCTACAGCACTTTAGCTCCCACCATTCAGCCTACAGAAGTTTAGCCCTGCCCACTCAGCCTACAGCACTTTAGCCACACCCATTCAGCCTACAATGGTTTAGCCCCACCCATTCGGCATACAGCGGTTTAGCCCCACCCATTCATCCTACAGCAGTTTAGCCCCGCCATTCAGCCTACAGCAGTTTAGCCCCACCCATTCAGCCTACAACAGTTTAGTCCTGCCCATTTGGCCTACAGCAGTTTAGCCCCACCCATCCAGCCTACAACCATTTAGCCCCGCCCATTCCGTCTACAGCAGTTTAGCAACGCCCATCCAACTTTCTGAAGATGCACACCTCCGAATGGGGCAGCTGAAGCTCATTTCCCCCATAGTCCCAACTCAGCTGATTGGTCTGCATTATTTCTACTGAGCGCTGGTTGATTGGAGAGCTGACCAACTCATTGGCTGAGTAAAGTGATTTGTGCTTACTAACTTTGTGCAGACGTACACAAGGCACCGTTATACTGTCCTGGAGTTCAGCCTCCAGTGGAGGATAGAGGGGAGTACTGGTCTGATCTGGAAAAAGCTTTTTTGCACCAGTTCACTTTTTGTCAGGTGGATTTAGCGCAGATTAACACAGCAGGAGGCTGAACGAGAAGCAGTGGAATTCCGAACTGAGTTCATTATTTATTTGTTATGAGCAATTCCATAGTTATTTGCTCCATACTTTATCATTGGAGACTGAGTTTATTAGAACCATACTGCTGCTGCGCACACAAACACCCCCGAGGCTGCATATACAGGTGTACACAAAAGTTTGGATCAATTTCCATGTCACTGTTGATTTTCTGAGTGTAGGTAATTTAACACATTCTCTACAGAGACACACTTCTGCACATTTTAATGCACTATTACTGTTTATCTGCTGAATTTAACATATTTTGGAAAAAAATAAGACATAAAATGTGGCCTGCGCAAAGGTTATGGCACATATCAAACCATATTTTACAGTTACATATATCAAAGAAGAACCATTTTCAAACTTTACTGCTTATAATTAAACAGGTTGTTTTTGTTATTGTGCCTTTAAGACTGATATATATGTAAATGAGCTCTGTTCTGATTGGATGTTCTGTATTCTGCTTCATTCAAAAAGCAGTCTGAGCTGAATAGGGTGGGGCTAAACTGCTGTAGGCAGAATGGGCAGGGCTACACTGTTGGAGGCTGACTGGGTGGGGCTAAACTGCTGTAGGCTGAATGGGTGTGGCTAAACTGCTGTAGGCTGAATGGGTGGGGTTAAACAGCTGTAGGCTGAATGGGTGGTGCTAAACTGCTGTAGGCTGAATGGTTGGTGCTAAACTGCTGTAGGCTGAATAGGTGGGGCTAAACAGTTGTAGGCTAAATAGGTGGGGCTAAATTGCTGTAGGCTGAATAGGTGGGGCTAAATTGCTGTAGGCTGAATGGTGTAAAAAATGTGTTGGTGTTGGACATCACAAAAACTATGAATTGAAAACAGGCCTCTGTTTCCACATATGTCTGTATGTGCTGGATAGTGAATATTTCTATGAGAAAAATTCATATTCCGATAGTTTGGGCCCTTTAATGATTTAAATGGGAACAGCAGGCAGCATTGAGTGCTCGAATTGGTATTTGATACCATCAGACTCTTACGCATTTATATATTTTTCTACTTCAACTTTAATTTGCATGAACATTATGTAAATGTGTTCTGTTCCATTTGATTGGATACGGTGTTTCTCCACATATTTTAATCATGAAAGTGTAAAACGGCCACGAGTCTCGAAAAAAAAGCAATCGTAAGCAATCCACCTGCTGCCTCCTGCCACCCGTTCCTAATTAGAAAAGAATCTGAAGTGCTTTTTCTAAATTCCTCCAGCTAAAAGCCTCCGTGTTTGCGTGCTGTTATAAACGGCCTCAAAGTGGCTTTAATTAAAGAGGACCGGTGTAGGTCTATTAGGATCAGGTTTCCATGACAATTACAAAAAAAATGAAACCCAGAATCAAAAGGTCTTTTAGTGTTTCAGTTATTACCTTTCTCCCTCTCACACCCTCCACACAGATTGATTTGGGTGGTCCACACACCCCCATCCCCCCACACCCCGACTCAAGTGTGATTGTCTGTGATTTAGACTTGTGTGAGTGATGATTGAAGGAGGAGAGGAACCGAACAATGCTATTTTCTTTCATCCCCCTGAGAGCCAATCAGACTCAGTCTCACTGACAGCTGGAATATAAATACAGATGTGCCATAAATTGCTTTCAAAACACCTCAGTACATTTCTTCCCCACTTTCTGTCTTTATCTCTCTTTATCTCTTTGCTGTTTCCACTTTCTTTCTTTTGTTATTCACTCCACATTTACTTTAATTCCACATTTCTTTATCGATTAAAGCGATAGTTCTCTCTAACACACTTGATGTTATGTATAAACTATGTAGAAACTGCATAATGACGTCTATTAGAGACTACTCAAAGGGGAACTCTAACTAACTAATTTAACAGTTAAAATGTAAATAAAGTCATTCAGAGTGGTTTGGTGTTAAATGCTCCGTTCTAGAGAAACTTATCAAGTCAGAATTGTTCACAGTGGTGGTGATAGGAACCAGACGTTCACCTCTCAAAGCTTCCTTTACAGAAAGTTATTACATGAAATGATTATGAATACACTGCCTGATGTCTGAGACACTGTTTTATGATAGTTCTGAGAAGATTTTGGCCTTAAAATCCATTCGTGGTGGAGGGATATATATTATGCAGGGTGTTGTGAGGCAAAATACTCAAAGAAAACATATAATTTCAGATTTTCCGCTATTTTCCCATCATCAACATTCCATATAAAACTCAGAAGACACGTTTAGGTCACTGGTGGTTTTGGATAGTAAATAAAATGTCTATATTTTTGTTGTAGTCATGGTGACCACTGGTTCCTATCACCACCACTGTAAGAAATCTGAACCATTTCACACAAAACCACTTTGGATCACTCTCTTTACATCTCACACACTCAATTATGCAGGAAATCAGTGGAATTCCCTTTAGATTTGAAGTGTTTAGGCATGCTAATTGATGGGGTATAAGCGTCCATTTTGGGCCAAGTGGGTAAATTAGATTTTTTTGATGAACTGTAGTTTTAACCCCGCTGTGTCAAACTGAGTTTCATCCAGGTCACAGCTCAGCAGAGATCTGCATTTCCCTCTGCATGAAAGCCTTGCTAATTAGCTGATGAGTACATTCAGGTTTATTTAATGAGGAAGAGTGTTGAAGTCCCACCAGGATTGTAGGATCTCCTCAGAGTTTCTGTGTAAAAGCTGAGTGTGAGAGGTGAGGGTTTTTCTTCAGCATCAGTGACCTTCACTCTAGCTGATTAAAGCTCTCAGCAGCGGAGTCTGTGGTGTAATTTTCATTGAGAGGGTCATTACACATCGTCCTTTTCTTAGTAATCTCATATCTCACCCATCTCCGCATCTCTGAGTGAATCTCTCTCTAATGGAATTCTCATTAGTCTCTGAACAGCAGTGAGTAACGTCGGCCTTACGACAAACGACTTTTTAAGCAATTTCACTGTCGAAGACATAATGTCAGAATAACATCAGGAGAGTTTTGCTAGAATTGCATCGCCCTGGTGTCATCTCGTCATTTGGTGTAAGGTGGGCAGGATGGCTGACTTAAGTCAGTCTTCGTATCTTGTCTTAATGATAAAATCAACCGTGTTTAATATTTTCATAATTTTGATGTCTCATGCAAATAGTGACATGGACATTGTCAACAACCAGTAGGTGGGCTCAGCGGGCGTCGCCTGGCCTGATCTGTAGCCCTGAATATTTATAACCAACCCCGAGCGTCAGACTTTAGTCTTTTAAAAGTCCTTTCAGAGTCTTTTCAAAGTCTTCTAGTGTACAGTCGGCATGAATTGGTTTGTCTCTTGGTTTCTGTTTCAGTTGCGTTTCTGGGGGACATTGCTCTGGACGAGGAGGACCTGCGCAATCTCAGACTGGACCAGACTGGACAGTCCAGCTCCAACGACACTAAACCAGGTATGTGTGACTGGCCCAGGTCTATAAAAGTAACAACAACAATAACAACAACAATAACAATAATAATAGTAATAATAATAATAATAATAATAATAATAACAATAATAATAATATCTGTGCACACATATGCACAAATGTGTGCTTTATGTACACATACACTTTATTATATCATATAAAATATATATTATATATTATATATTATATATATATATACTTAATATTTTATTATATCTTCATATATTTCTATTTTACATTCTTCTTCTCTTTCTATATTCTTATAATTTTCTATTGTATATTCTGCTTTTCATTTCAACAGACAGTCATGTAAGCATTTTACTGCACGTTATAGTGTGTATGGCTGTGTGTGACCACTAAAGCTTGATATTATTTGATTTAACTTGATTTGATTCGATTCAATTCTTTTCAGGAGACTCACTTTCAGTTTCTCAAAGAAATCTGCAGACACACCTCCCAAGTTCCGTTTTAGAAGTTGGTTGTACACTCTTTAAAAAGAAGGTTCTTCAAGGGTTCTTTAGTAAAGAAAAGTCTCAACTCTAAAAGAACCCTTTGCATAAATAAAGGGTTCTTTGCATGGTGAAATGGTTCTTTAGATTGATGGAGAATGTGCTGTACATGGTTCTATATAGACCTTTTTGGAAAAGGGTTCTATGTAGCACCGAAAAGGGCTCTTCCAGTCTTATAAGCTTGATATTATAATGATAAAAGAACCCTGCTATACAGAACACTTTTCAAAAAGGTTCAAAATAGAACAATCTACAGCACACTCTCCATCGATCTGAAAAAACATTTCACTATGCAAAGAAATATTTAATCATGCAAAGGGTTCTTTAAATGTTCATGGCTCTATATACAGTCATTTCTTTACTAAAGAACCCTTGAAGAACCATCTTTGCACAGGTGGGTGATGAGATAAAAATATTCACCATACACGATATGTATCACGATACTTTGAAACCGATTAAAGTGTCTCCTTAAAAAACTGCAAAATCTATGAATGCAGTGATTATTATTCAGCATTTCACACACTACACTAAAACAACCAAACAGGACTAGTTATGCACTCTTTGTAATGACACATGCATGTTCTTTGAGTATTGACCACAACCATGATATACTCAGAAAAGTATATTGTGTATCACAGTAATAAAATATCATGATAAAAATAAAACACCATTATGTTGCTTTCTGCTTCTCCCTGTCCAGCTAATCCCAAACACATTCAGTGATGTTGAGGTCTGGACTCTGGGGTGGTCAGTCCATTGTTCAGCTTCTTTCTTTGATGTGTCTGTCTCCTTTTCTCAGTGAGGCTTCTTGACAGCTACACATCCTTTCAGACCCATAGCGCTGAGTTGTCTTCTCACAGTGGAAGGATGGACAGAAACACCTGTGGATGTTTTTAGATCTGAAGCAGCTTGATTTTCTCCTCTCTCTCAAAGATGAAAGCTTTAAGTGCTGTTTATCTGATTGGGTCAGTTTTGGTGTCTACCAGGTCTTCCAGGTGGTTGTTAGGAATTTTTGGTGTGGCTTTTAATAAGTATTTATCAACTCCATTTTTGGAAGCTCCTGTCCGTCACTTTGACTTTAAGTGCTGTTCGTTTTATAATAATAATAAGTTTTGGTGGTCTACCAGGACTTGCACATATGTTGTTAAGTTCCTGAGTAGGTAAACTTCAAATAAAGTGTAACCAATGTTATTTATGAGCAACCGAGTCTGTTCTACAGTTTCTAATATGGCTGAATTGGATTTTTACCTATGTTCTGTAAAGCTTGTCCGACCTCACAGCAGTAGCTATGAAAATTTTTCTCTGTTCTAGTGAACTCATCATCAGCGTATCGGATCAGAGAGGCTGAAGTTCTAGTTAACAGCAGCAGAGGGAACGGATCGTTGTGGGACAAAGTAGATCTTTCCCGCAAGAGGAGAGCAGCCACTGCTAGGCCGGAGAGGGTGTGGCCTGATGGAGTCATCCCGTACGTCATCAGCAGAAACTTCAGCGGTGAGACCTCATCACCATTTCTGTCCTTAAACAACTGTCTAGACAAATTTCAGTCAGGTTTTCATCCTTATCATAGTACTGAAACAGCTCTAATTAAAGTTATTATTGACATTCGCTTAAATACAGACTCTGGAAAAACATCTATTCTATTACTGCTTGATCTCAGCATTGCCTTTGATACCACTGACCTTAAAATTCTTGAGAACTGAGTTGGGCTCTCAGGAACTGTCCTTAAATGGTTAAGTTCATACTTGCAAGGAAGGGACTACTTTGAGGAAATTAAGCGTAATATTTCTGAGAAAGTGCCAGTGACCTGGGGTGTCCCCACAGGGTTCAAATCTTGGGCCACTTTTATTCAATTTATACATGCTGCCTCTTGGCCAAATACTTCAAGACCATGGGATATCTTACCACAGTTATGCAGATGATACGCAGATCTACTTGACCCTTTCCCCAAACAACTACGGCCCCCTTGACTCACTCTGTAAGTGCCTTGAGCACATCACTAATTTGATGGAACAAAACTTTCTGCAGTTGAATAAAGATAAAACAGAGATTATTTTATTTGGGAATAGCAAAGAGAGGCACAGACTAGTTGCCTATCTGGATTCAAGAGCCCTAAAATCTAAAGAACTAGTATGTAACCCTGGTGTACTGAAGTCTGACCAAAGCAGGATTGATCACTGTAATGGTCTCCTAACTGGACCCCCAAAAAAGACAATCAAACAGGTTCAGATGATTCACAATGCAGCTGCCAGAGTCACTAAGATAAAAGAAGGACCCCCCCCCCATTCTTACATCCTTACACTGGATACCAGTCTGTTCCAGAATATACTTTAAGGTGCTGTTACTGCTCTATAAATGTCTTAATGGTGCAGGAGTGGCATATTTATCTGATCTGCTGCAGCGATATGAGCATTAAAAGAGCTCCGACGCTGGACACTTTGACTTCAGCATCAGAATATCTTACCTATAAATATGTGGTACAGTAGGACTTTTTGACAAAACAGCACAATTTATCAGAACACCAGCTAGTGTTAATGCTAGGCTAATGGCTAACAGCTAACCCCAAGAGACTGGCTTTTGATTCTGCTCTCTTTTCCCCATTGACTCATCAATTTATTACAGTCTGATGTCACTCCTTTAACAATAAACTGGACTAACTGACCTCAGACTGCAGCTCACTGCACGAGAGGTGAGCATGTTCTGCACTGTTTGAATGTCACATTATTTGCATTTATTTGCATACTGATATAAATGAAAATATACTATATGGAAAATTAACTGCAAAAAACAGCAGTTTAAACAGAAACAGAGGTTTAGCCCCACCCATTCTGCCTACAGCAGTTTAGCCCCACCCATTCAGCCTACAGCAGTTTAGCCCCACCCATTAAGCCTACAGCAGTTTAGCCCCACCCCTTCAGCCTACAGCAGTTTAGCCCCACCCATTCAGCCTACAGCAGATTAGCCCGACACATTCAGCCTTCAGCAGTATATCCTCACCCATTCGGCCTACAGCAGTATAGCCCCGCCCATACCGCCTACAGCTGTTTAGCCCCGCCTGTTCAGCCTACAGCAGTTTAGTCTTGCCTAATCAGCCTACAGCAGTTTTACCCTGCCTATTTAGCCTACAGCAGAGTCCAGACCTCAACATGACTGAATGTGTTTGCTGAGTTTCTTGAAAAGAATGGAAGCTGTAATAAACATTAAGAGTGACACACTGAACACTTAAACAGCTGCGAGGGGGGGCTGTGTACAATATTGGATATTAGATTTTTTGCTAAACTATCACTTCAATTGTTCTCCTCCAGGCAGCCAAAGGGCAATCTTTAAGCAGGCAATGCGTCACTGGGAGAAACACACCTGTGTCACTTTCACAGAGAGAGTGGCTGAGGAGAGCTACATTGTCTTCACCTACAGACCATGCGGGTGAGATTAAACACATTTGTCCTTTCAGTTACAGCATCATAGCAACAGCCTGGAACTAAGATTGATTTGAATATTCAAATTGTGTTAAAGGAAAATGTGTTAAAGGTGTAAAAATTAGGTGTGGTTAACAATTAACAATGGTTAATGCATTAACTTTAACACCATTCATTATAATATATTACGCTAAATGTATACGTTGTTTTTCCATCTGTCTCTATAGTTGTTGTTCATATGTGGGGCGTCGTGGAGGGGGTCCTCAGGCCATCTCCATTGGCAAAAACTGTGACAAGTTTGGCATCGTGGTGCACGAGCTGGGTCACGTGATCGGCTTCTGGCATGAACACACGAGACCTGACCGAGACGGACATGTCAGCATCTTCAGAGAGAACATCCAGCCAGGTAACACATACATCACCTGTCCATCGCACACCTGTACCTGAGCATCACACAATTGTTACTGTCCATCATGCACATGTGCCTGACCATCACACACCTATTACTGTCCATCACACACCTGTTACTGTCCATCAAACATCTGTACCTGTCCATAACACACCTGTTACTGTACATCACATACCTGTACCTGACCATCACACACCTGTACGTGTCCATTACACACCTGTATCTGTCCATCACACACACCTCTACCACCTGTACCTGGTCATCACACACCTGTACCTGACCATCACATATCTGTTTATGTACATCACACACCTGTGTCTCTCAATCACACACCTGTTACTATACATCACACTCCTGTTAATGTTCATCAGCCACCTGTGCCTGTCCATCACACACCTGTACCTGACCATCACACACCTGTTACTGTACATCACACACCTGTTACTGTACATCACACACCTGTTAATGTACATCAAACAACTGTGCCTGTCCATACCTCACCCATACCTTATCATCATACACCTGTTACTGTACATTAAAAACACCTGCACCTGTCCATCATACACCTGTACCTGTCCATCACACACCTGTTACTGTCCATCAAACATCTGTACCTGACCATCACACAGCTGTTAATGTATATCAAATAACTGTACCTGTCCAAAACACACCTGCACCTGACCATCACACAGCTGTTAGTATACATCAAATAACTGTGCCTGTCTATAACATATATACCTATCCATCACACATCTGTACCTGACCAACACACACATCTGTACTTGTCCATCACACACACCTCTACCACCAGTACCTGTCCATCACACACCTGTACCTGTCCATCACTCACCTGTACCTGTCCATTACACACACCTCTACCACCTATACCTGTCCATCACTCATCTGTACCATGACATCTGTGAGCTAGCTTTAAATTGTTTTTAATATCAATTATCATGTTTGTTGGTTTGCAACTTGTCATATTAAAGTCTGATCAAGTTTATTTACTGTGTTAAAACACCCATATCCTACATTTTTCTAATGTTTTTTTCCACTTATAACATTTGTTTGTATGTGCCAAAAACAGTCATAATTCATATTACATGAGCATTTTCCAACCTCTCTTTAGCTCTTACAACTAAATAGTTAATTAATAGCTTTTTACAGTGCCTGTAATATATGTAAAGCTCTGTTCTTTGATTAGTTGTGCCTCGTACAAAAAAAAGGCAGTCCAGGCTAAAACACTACTTCTAACATCAGTGTGATTGGGTGCTCTAGGCAGAATAGGCAGATATATGTAAATGTGTGGGTTGTTGTGACATCACAAAAATGAATTTAAAGTGGGCTGTTTTTTTCAGCTTGGATGTTATGTACTGGGGAGTGAACAGTACATTTCATAAATGTAACAATGTTAACATATTACATCAAACCCCTTCATTAAAAAAAGTCAGGAAAATGGATTTTTCCATGATATGGGCCCTTTAAAGACAGTTTGGAAAGGAAAACTCTGATGATAGACAAGATGAACACAAGGCATCATCACAGAGCCTATTTATCTGATTTATGGTGAACTAAACCTGCAAATGAGTTTATATTAATTCTTTTAAAAGTAGCAGAGAAAATCAAACAGTAGTTGGAAAAGTTTAAAAGAAAGCTATGTCTCTAAAGATTTTAAGCTCTGCGGTGGGTGGAAAGAGGCTTTGAAATAACATAAAAATGTTGAAGGAAAAACGTATTCAAAGTCAAAATCCTGAAAAAAGAGAATAAAACCGCAGGATACTGTACTGAGAGCACTGATGTCTGTATTTAGAGTTTTTATTTTTTATTTTTTTAGATAATTACAGTCTCCAAAATGTCACAGTAGCTCTTATGAGTTCTGAATCTTCAGCTGCTCACTTGTTTGTGTAGTTACACAGGCAACAATAAAACTTTTAAAGCGATAGTTTGGCAGAAAAAAAATTTTTATCCACACAGTGGAAATATTACACACCTTTGGCAGTTTTTCAGGGTATAAGCTGAATTTTTTCCTATATAAGAGTGAATGTTTTCCTATAAGTCTCCCAGCTCTGCAGATTTTAGACATGGACCTGTCTTTTCATCTGAACAAACCAGGCTTCAGATATTTAGGGATCAGTATTACTAGTTCTATGTCTAGTCAAAAACATTGTGCCTTTGATTAATAAACTTAAACTCGATTTCCAGAAATGGAAATGTCTTACATTTATCTCTTGCAGGTGGAATTAACTGCATCAAAATGTATGTGCTGGCCAGATTTTTGTATTTGTTCCAGTGCTTCCCAATTTTTCTGCCAAAATCTTTTTTCCGAACAGTGGACAAAATGATGTCATTTTTATGGTGTGGCAAGATCCCTAGAGAACATAAAGAAATACTTCAAAGGCAGAGGTCCCAGGGTGGACTTGCACTCACAAATTTTATGTATTATTACTGGGTTGCAAATCTACAAAAAATTATACACTGGGTGCAGTTCCCACAGGCAGAATGGTGCAAAATTGAATCTAGCTCCAGGCCCTTAACATATTTTGCTGCTCTAGTTACAAACTGCCTAAAATCTGGGGACAGTTTGGTCAGAATTTTAAATTATTCGATTTTTCTTTGCAAGGTCTTATATGTAAGCTGGGTCTCAATAAATTCAGCGACCTATACATAGATGGGACTTTTGCCTGTTTTTTTTTTTGTTTTGTTTTTTTGGATTTTAACCCAATTATCTCCCCAATTTAGTCGTCGCCAATTCCACCCGCTAGTTAGGACTCCCCCAATCACACGATACTATCAACGCTAGGAGGGTGAAGACTAACACAGGCTTCCTCCTGTGAAGCGCCACCACATCTTTTCAAACTGTCGCTCACGCAACGTCATTGGACAGCTGAACGCGCTCGGAGGAAAGCGCCAACCGCCAGACCTGTTACGTCAGCTAACAGACGCCTGCGCTGACTAGCATCATGTTAGGTGATGGGGGGAGAAGGTGGGGCCATCCTGCCCACCCAGAGAGTCTCTTGGACTCCTGGCTACGGATGGCTGTAGCATCACCAGGGATCGAACTCGTGATCTCCTGATGATAGGGACAACGCTTAGACAGTTGCGCCACTCGGGAGCCAGTTTTAAAGACAGTACCACGATTTTTAAGATTCCAAACTCCAACCTAGTTGTTTTTTTCAGTTACGTAATTTCATTCATGCTGAATGTTCAACTTTCCCTAATTTGCCTCCAAGATCAGGAATAGATACCATCTTAGAAACTTGTTCGCAGCTCAGAGGCCCGATTCACATATTTATGATACTATCATGTCTCTCAAAAGCACAACAATGAGTAAAATACATACTGAGTGGGAGAACGAGTTTGGAATAGAGATACCCGATGAAACTTGGGAGACTGCATTAAGAAGAATTAATGGAACAACGTCCTGTGCCCGACTCAGCTTAATTCAGTTTAAAGTTCTCCACCGTATCCATTACAGTAAAACTAAATTGGCAAAAATCTACCCTAATGTTTGTGATAAATGTGACTGTTGCTGTTCTGCCAGAGCCAATCTGACTTACATGTTTTTGGTCAGCCATTTTTAAATTCCTGTCTGATGCATGGAGATGGAGATACAGCCTAGAATGGAAACAGCTATTTTTGGTGTCCTAGGAAGCTGTATCTCAGTAAATAGTACAAAGAGGGATGCTTTTGCCTTTGCAACTCTCCTAGCAAGGAGAAGGATTTTATTGAATTGGAAGTCAGCATGTTTCACACTGGCTCAGAGACCTCTTATTATTTCTTGAATTAGAAAAGATTAAATATTCACTTAGAGGGTCAATCAAATTGTATACAACCTGGGAGCTTGTGTTATCATACTTTGAAAAGCTACGGACTCTTGCTGTAGACTAAGCAAGACGAAAATATTGCCAGTATTTTAAAAGTCTATTAGGAAAATCCATTATGCGACACTATATGAAACTATATTATCAAACACTAAAGTCTATAATTATCTATTTATCTATCTATTTTTTAAATTAGTATAATTAATGTATTCTCTGTTTAATATTGGCAGTTCTGTTTTGGTGGGCAAGGGGAGGGCTTGTGATTATGTTGTGAGCAGTGAGTTTGGTGTGAGGGAGGGAAGGGGAAAAAAGGTGCAGCATTTTTCACTGTATGTATGTAAAATACCTGTTCATTTCAATAAAATGTATTAAAAAAAGAAAGAAAAAAATTAAATCCATCTAGGGCTGGGCTATATGACAATATATATCATTATCAGGATAAATTATGTCACTATAATATAATATAATACAGTATAATACAGTCTGCTTTTTTGAACATATCTTGTGTATCGTCAGTACTTGTAGACACTGAACAACTACATGTTTCATTATAAAGAGAATATTAGTATTACTGTTTAACTGGATTTAGTGCCAAATACTGAATACAAATAATTTATTTCACAGTTTTTGATAGTATTTTTTAAAATGTAGCACTACCGTCTCTTTTTCAAACATCTGAAAAAATACGTATTGTGACATGTCATGTATGATGAAAATTTATTGAAATATTAGATTTTTGACATATTGCCCAGCTCTAAATTTATCAAATCCAGGTTTGCTTCTTAAGTTTTTCCCTGGAGCTACACAGCTAACAAGCAATGCAAGTTATTTAGCATATCAATTAGCAAGGTGGTAAGTCATCATGGTGCCAAGTTTGATGGTGCTAAATCGTCAAACACTCGCCTCAAACAGTGTGATGTTCAGTATCTCTAATAGTCTTGATTATGTTTTTTCTGCCACTGAATGACTCACTGTTATCTATAAACATGGACTGAAGTACATTAGCATAGCTAATAACATTAGCCTGAATTTTGCTTGTGCTGTTGGTAAAATTTTAGATAAAAAATCTTCATAGTTTTTCACAGTTGGAGGTGAGTGTGTGATAATTTAGACATGCAGTTAGCACCATGCTAATTGGTGCGCTAATTAGCTTCCACTGTTAGATACATTAGCGTTGTAGCTCCAAGGTTTAATTCTGCAGGTCAAAGCTTTAAACGCTATTTATCCGTGTTTGTGAGTTCTGCTCTGTGGGTTTCAGGGCAGGAGTATAACTTCCTGAAGATGGAGCCGGGGGAGGTGAACTCTTTAGGAGAAGTGTACGACTTTGACAGCATCATGCATTACGCCAGGAACACCTTCTCCAGGTGTGTGTGTGTGTGTGTGTGTGTTGGGGATGTGCATCTCAGTCACTGAGGCCGTTGCGATGCACATCTCGGTGTATTGCCAATGAATCGATACATTAAAGTTACATATGAAGTAACTACAAATGTGATACAATATGATTCATACAATTATGATACAGTGCAATTGGACACAATTTGATTTGGCATGATTTGATTCAGCACAAGTGAATCAAAGAGATATGATGCAACGCAAAAGAATATAATACTATGCCATTTAAACTGGTACACACAGCAAATCATAAATGAACTAAAAATGTGCCTTTTTTACTTCACATATTTTTTCTCTGGAGCTGCAGCTCAGTTAGTATCTTTTTGTGCTGTTCCAGGCCTTCTCACAAGTCCTTTGTAGTGCAAAAAAAGAGTCTCTGACAAAAGATAAAACAAAACCAGTCCTTCGTTTCTGTTCTCGAGTTGCACTTTTATAATATCTCACACATTTAACAGTTAAACCATTTTCATACATTGCAAAAATATATTTGATAAGTACATTTGGAATACATGTTTTGGATGCTGATATGCTGTTTTTTTCAGCAGCCTAGATAGAGAGAGAAGGAGAAATCTTCCAAAAAGCTCCCACCTGTGTTGTTCATTCCTCTTCCTTCTCCCGTGGGTTCCCCATTGTGTCTGGTGTATTTGTAGCCCTTTGTTTTCAGTCTTTCTTTGGGGGGAATTTCACAATGCAGGATTTCTCAGTCAGCTGGATAACATAAGTGGAACTCCACCAATTTTTCTAAATTTCCATTTAATTAAAAGGTTAAGATGTAAATAGGGTCATTTAGAGTGGTTTGGTGTGAAATGCTCTGTTCTAGAGAAACTTACAGAGTCAGAATTGTGCACAGTGATGGTGATAGGAACCAGAAGTCCACCTCTAAAAGCTCCCTCACAGAAAGTTATTGCATGAAATGGTTAGATATACACTGCCTGATTACTGAGACATTGTTTTACAATAGTTTTGTGATACAAATGTTGGCCTAAAATGTCTTGTTGATCTATTTATTTTAATTCATGGTGGAGGGATACATGCAGGACATTGTGAGACAAAATAGTTCCCAAAGAAAACATATTTCAGATTTTCTACTATTTTTCCATCATCCACATTCCATATAAAACTCAGAGAACACATGTAGGTTTACTGGTGGTTTTGGTTAGTAAATAAAATGTCTATATTTGTGTTGTAGTCGTGGCGACCCCTGGTTCCTATCACCACCACTGTAAAGAAATCTGAACCATTTCACACCAAACCACTCTGAATCACCATGTTTACATCTCAAACACTGAATTGTGCAGAAAATGTTAAAATGAATCGATGGTATTCTCCTTTAAATATATTTATATTATGTGTTTACTTGTTTTTAATAGTTGTTTGTAAAAAATTAAAATCTGTATTCAGCTTTGTTAGACCTTGTTTATATATCAAATAAATCCACTGAGAAATTACATTATTAAAAGAGTAGATTTAACAGCAGGCATAGATGCTTTTTGGCTTGAGCTTAAAGGGTTAAACGCTTACAAAGAGGACTGCTGGTAGAGCCACAGCGAGGAGCTCAGGAAGTTCAAATGAAGCCTAACATCTTTATTCGTGCTCTTCTCCTGTTCCCATAGCAACATCATCTGTGAATCTTCTTCACATTCACTCTGAAGACTGTTTTTATACCATAAAAGTACCTTTTTACATCATAAGTGTTTGTGATTAGTGAGTTGTTTTCACTCCTATAATATTTCTCCTCTTGGTATCTAAAAATGGACAAAATCAGAATGTTTGTAAACATAAAGGTCAGCTGTATATCTGGGTGGATAACTTGCATCCTATCAGCAGCTCAGCTTACGGCACAATTCACAATAAATTCAGGCATAACATACAAAACGTTAGCAACAAAATCTGGTTGTGTTTGAGACTGTAATGTCAAACATATTCAGGTATGTAATGTATTCTTCTAAAGCAGGTAGAGCTGCTATAAGCAGTATTAACTCCACTGAGGGTCCTCTGTGTTTGCTAACACTCTCAGCTGAAGCTAACGACAATTTAGCAAATTCTTTACTCTTCCAAATGAAGATGAAGTTTAGGACAGTAAGAGCAGAGTTGGTATTTTGAGAATTATTACTTTGTAGAGAGTTTGAAATAGCTAACGCTATTAGCATTTATGCTAGTGACCACAGAACAAGTGTTTTTGCTCATATTTCGAACTTGACAGAAAAACTGAAGCTTTGTTTGATTATACTGTAGTATCCATGTAGAAGAAGACACTGAAAACACAGCAAGCAAATGCTTTTTTACAGAGAATCTTTACAAAGACCAGAAACGCCTAGCCCTGTGCTATCCCAACACGAAACACATGGAAGCCAGTTTCCACGGTTAGGCAGAGCCTGTGATGGACACTAAACAACCCCCAAGGGTCAGCCGTCCTAGCAATCCACACAGTCCCAAGCAAAGTTCCTGGGGCACGCAGAGTCCCGGCCTGCACAAGTGGCGCAGAGGGGACCTGTTCCTTGGTTGTGGCATAGCCCCAGTTCTCTCCTGGGACCATGTGCTTGGCGCAGCAGCTCCTCAGTGTACCCTGCTTCAGTCCTTTGCTGTTGAAGCGTACTAAGGGAATGCACACCACCTCCTTCTCGCTGGGCTCCAGCTGGGCTTCGCTGCCGAGCCTTGTCACACTGTCCATCTTCGTTGATGCACTGCTCAACTTCCTTCAGCTCAGTGGCAATATCCCACTTCTGACACCAATACACTTCATTGTAGATATTTGTGTGAGTGTGCAGAACAGTGCAATATTGTTTCAAATCAGCCACTAAGGTCAGCTAGCTGGCAAGCAAGGTAACGAATTAGCCAAACTAGACAGGTTTTATTTACATAAAATGACAAAAAGATACAGGAAAAAAGAATGGCATTTTCAAAAAATCCCTGCTCTGGTGCCCTGTGGTAAACAAAAGTACGTCAGAAAGCGTTACCTTTTGTATGTGTGTTTACAAATGTTGCCAGATCATCTAAATTGTGATGCTACATTTTTAGCTTACATTTTTTAAAATATGAATGTAGCTACAGGCAAGCTAACACTGCTTGCATGAGCGAGTGCTATTTTGCATTATAGTACATTATTATAGCCTTTTGAGGCATAACTGGAGCTTATAAGTGTGCTTACACAGCATTGCTACTAAGAAGCAAAGCACATTTTGAACTATTTACATGCTTCAGAGAAAGTGTTATCCATTTTTGTTTACCATGGAGCAGCAGTGATTTTTGAAAACACATTCATTTTTTATGACCTGGAGTTCCTAATATGGATGTGCTGCAGAGTACAGAGCTGTGTAGAAAGTCTAAAGTGAGTAAATTGTATTAAATAAACAAAGCTATGCAAATCTCACCTGCATGAACTGACCCTTTTGATGATGCTGCTGCTGCTGCTGCATAAACTCAAGCCATCTAATTAACCATTGCTCCACCTGGTTTTCCCCGTTTGTGTATTCTATAGGGGTGGGAATCTCTAGGCACCTCATGATTCGATTCGATTACGATTCAGAGGGCTGCGATGCGATTATAAAACGATTATTCTTTTTTTACCATACAGGATTTCTTTTTTCTCACTGAGTGAGGACTTGGTACTTTTAAAGCAAAGTATTTGTAATGATCTATAATGAATTTACCAATATCTTGTATTAATAAAACAAATGAAAGTGATGTAGCAAGTAAACTGGAAGACTCTCATTCACTGCTCTTGTTTGGAGCACATGAATCACAGGCTGCCACTCATCTGTGATAAAATGCGCTGTTACTGTGACATAAATTCTGTGGCACTGGGTGTCCCTGAATCACGTTACAGCTACCCGTGTTATTCAGTGATTCCATAACTTCGGCTTTGGTCTCGTTGTAGTGGGGGGATCGCTGTGTCAGTAAAATATGTTCGAGATGGGACGCTGTATCTTGGCTCCAAAGTGTGCAACATAGCATGAAAGCCCTGGTTCTCAATGACTGAGAACAGACACAAATCCTCAGCAATAAAAGTTGCGATAGAGTTTGTAATTCGCTTCGCCCTTTCCGAGTTGGGTGGAAGCTTTGACATCACTTGCTCGATGGTCCTCTGGTTGGCAGCAACTACAGCTGGATGGAAAACGGGGGAAACATGTAATATGGTTTCTAAAATTCGTCGTTTCCAAAATATTTTAGTTTAATATGACACAACTTGCATATAGTGTGGCTCTTAGTGGACCAGGTTCTAATGCTGTTTTAACAGTAGATGGTCTTAAACGCTGCTTATTCACCACCCTACAACCTGAAGGTTGGCATGCAGACTATAGGTCACATACCAACGCAGAGAGTCTCGCCTAGCTAAGTTAGTAGTTAACGAAAAGGCAAAGAGAGGGATTTAAGATTAACATTTGGAGACGAATGGACTGATTTGCATTTATAAGAACCGCAGTTGGTTTCCTAGTACGTTAAATCTGCAAAGAGAAACTGTCAAACACTAAAAAGTTGCGAAGATGAAATCAGCTTCTCTTTCGAATTCTCCCGTTCCACCTTAAATGGTGCCACATTTACCTTCTGGTGCCTCAGGCAGAATTTAAGGTAGAACGGGAAAATTCAAGCAAGAAGCTGGAGAATGAGAAGCGACTTCAGCATTGTAAACAGTCGAACGTAGAAAGCTGTTTTACAAGAAACTGTTCTATTTTTGAAGAAAAGTTTTCTGTCGGACATGGGAGGAAAGCGGCTGTAGCTGAGCTGAAGCTTAAAGCAGAGCGAAGTAAATCTGCGTTTTCGTTTATACTGTTTAGTCTATACTAGGACATTATCACATACTGAGACATACTGAACGTTAAATGTTGTGGCTCCCAAGGTGGTTTGATTTTTGTTGAAAGGACAAAATGTCTCTTCTTATCATTTGTGTTGTGACTCCTGACTTAACCTGGCTTTCAATGCAGAGGGTGCCGGTTGAATTTCTCGCTCATCCAGTTGTGTTTTTGTTATGTGC